ATCGAAGGGAATTGCTATGCCCTAATTTGCTTAGCCTCTTACGCAGCCACCTGATGAAATTAAAACGTGTCTGAGAGCAAAGCTTAAACGAACAATGGGGGGTAAAACAGTGCGCCTGTAGAGGTGTAACGAAACCTATTTGTGGCCCCATTGAGCCGTCCAAGAGGTATCTTTCAGCATAAAAACATCTTACGATTCTAGTAATTAGCCTGCTGGGATGGGGTCTAACAATAAGGAGTTCGGGGTCTTTAGACCTCGGCATTCTTATTTGAAAAGCTGTCCTGAGATAACTGTCTCGCTCTTATAAGATTTTGCGCCGCTATTATAAATAAATTAAAATGTGAATTGAATAACTGGATTGAATAAATGTTAGCAGAGCTCAGAGGTTTTCAAAAGCGCCCCAACAAAAGCATGACCAGATTCTCAAACAGAGGTTGCTAAAAAACAGACAGCAAACCTAAAGGGTTAATGAATACATTTTCAAAAGACACCTGCAATCCAAAAGCCAGGAGCAGGTAACCTAACATTTAAACTTTTAGGACACTAGAATACTGGAGCTCCTGGTTTGGTAAGCTTGACTCAGCCTTCTCAAACAAATATTTGCTTAATATCTACAAATCAGCCAAATTCAGGGACGTTATGCCATTCAATTTGTTAATTTCAATTCAATTCCAGATTCAATTTAACTTGTGGTATAGCCGGCCCATTCATGACAAGAAGTTATCTCAGCGACACTTGTTCAAATAGGAGCAGGTCTTAGACCGGAACTCCTTTTCAACATTTACACGAGACCCAACAGTACCAGCCATGAGCAAGCACTTTGCGCGGACGTGGGGGCAAGGAACAAAGCTGGCCTTTTAACAGACAGAAAACTTAGGATAGACCCTTCGGCTCTAAGGTGTGGGTTGGTCATTCGTGCCTTGGACCAGTTGGGCCGGGGAAAATGAGAAAGACGATGTGGGGAGAGAAGAGAGAGCGAGAGGAGAGAGAGAGAGGAGAGCAGAAGAGAGGAGAGAGAGCAAAATAGTAATTTTTTTTGATCTGATGACGATCATGGAAAAGACGGCTGACGATGACAGCGCAGCCCAACGTATTTTGGGACAGCGAGCAGCAGTTATACCATACCAGTAAACTGTTAGCAGATAATTAACTACTTAATAATAACTAAATAATAATAACAGGTGGATTTTAGCAATTGTAGTCT